AAATGTCCTGGACAAGCGTGTTGATGAAGCTGAGCGACACAGACAGTAAGCAGGAGCAGCAGGAGGAGGAGCAGGAGGCGAAGCAGTCAGTCATGCCAGATTTTAGCTCGTCAGCTCGCATTAGTTAATTTGCTTAATTTTTAATTTACTCGACTCTTACTGGTCTCGAGAGCTGATCGGCTCTGGCATCGACTTTAATAATTACGAGTTATTAATTTATGAAGAATTTTGCTTAGCATTTGGCCTGCAGGTGGAAAGCTTCACAACAATTCAGCATAATTAAGTGTTGGCCAGTTCGAAGTTCATTTGGCTAGCAGAAAACCCATTTCCTCTTTAAACCTGCAGCGGGTGAAAACTTTTCAGCACACAACAAAAAGAGTGTGAGAGAGAGAGAGAGAGAGAGAGAGAAAATGAAGGGAGAAAAAAGAAGAAAACCTCATCAAAGTTTTAACAAAAACTTTGCATTTTCAAAACTGTTTGAACAGCCATCGCGAACTAATCAGCGCTCAGCTCTGCCAAAGGGCAGGTCAAAGGGGTGGCTTAGGGCTGGACCTGGGTGGGTGGGGGTTGGGGCTGGCTCTTTGGATTATGGGCTGGACCTGGGGGGTGGGTGTGTGGGTGTGTGGGTGGTGGCTGCACACCCTTTTTACAAATTGTAATGTCAGTTCATTCTGAAATTTCTTATTTCGCTGTTGCGCATTCAAGAATTTATCTTGTTGCTGTCTTCTTGTATTGTGTCCGTTTAAGCTGCTAACCCCCACCCCCACCTCCAACCCTACAACAACAACAAAAAGCAAAAAAAAAAAAAAAAAAAAAAAACAATCCCTGAACAGGCGAGCGAGTGGGTCGCATTGTTGTGCACTGGGCCGCAGCTGGTCTGCCATTAAATCAACAATGGCGCCGTGTACACGTGCTGCCCTGTCTCTGTCTCTGTCTCTGTCCGAGTATGCGAGTGTGCGTGTGTGTGCTGTATACCCTGTATTTAATTTGGCCAAATATAGCGGGTCTAAATTTTATAAATTCTATGTTTGGAGAAATTGAGAATAGAAAATTTTTGTTGTACTTTAAATTGAATTTTTAGGTGGTTGCGCCTGGGGTTTGTTGGGGTTCGATGGATGGGCCTTCCGGCCTTGAATGTTGTTTAAGGGCTGTTCATATAAATATAATGTTATTTCTAGTAAATATTTCTAGTTACAGATATCCAGAGGGAACTGAAATCCCTTCCCCTGATTTGTTCTCAAATTACAGGGAAAATTTAAAAAATCTGGTTAATTTTTTTTTTGGTAATTGTTCATACCCTAAGCCCTTTGTTATTCTGTGAAAGTTAAGGTTATGGTATGTGCTTACTGTCAAAATTTAGAGGGGCGATATTTCATATAGCTGACATATGCAATACAATTTGAATCCAGCTGACTCATATAAGCAGTGCTCACAGATTTATTAAATTTTATATTTCAAAAAGTTCCTGTAATATATAAATCCCAAATATGTTGACTTCACTTTTACTGAGAGCATTTTGAATGAGCTTCAGCGATCTATGTTGACTAGATTGTAGCCCCTATCCCAATATGTAGTGACAGTCAGTTCAACATAGATCGCTAAAGAACATTCAAAATGGTTTCCTTTCAAATGAAGTCATCTCTTATTTGATTTTCTTCTCTTAGAACTTATCTCTAACGTCTTCATTTTCTTTAACATATTATTTCAGTATAAGTGTTATACACCCCTATACTCGATCGGTTTTGTCTTTCTCTTAAGGCGCATCTGTTAGTCTTTGAATCCGCTTTTCACTATTGAGCGCTGTGCGCTATTATTCATTGTCTGATTTTTTCATTTCACATTTGTATTCGTCTCTAACCTGAATTGCACCCACACACACATATATTATATATGTGTATATTCTATATATAGGTATATGGAGTAAACTATACTGTAGACTTTTGCCAACATATTGTTATTGTCGAGGGATAAAACAGGTCTCTGGGCTCAGGCAATTGAGTTTTTATGCGTCGTTGATTGCTGCACATTTCTTTCTCTCGCTGTCGCTCTTTCTCTTTCTCTGTCTCACTTTCTCCTTCCCACACACACACACACACGCCCACAATCCAGTTGCAGTGTGACATGCAATATTAATGTTCACCATAATGCAATTTGCACATTGTCCTTTACTCTATTTGTTCCCAGCATTTCTATTTGGTATTTGTTACTAATATGCTTCTGGTTTGTATTTTGCTATTTGCTTTCTATTTCAGTTTCTTTCCGTTTCTCTGATAGGTTTTTAATTCCTTATGTGTGCCTTTGTGGCTCATTTTGCTCATATGACTATGAGCAAACTAGTTCTAGTTCTTGTTTAAAAGGGGTTTCTACATATGTTAAGCTCTAGTTCTCGAAAAGCTTCTGCTTTGGCATTATTTCCTTTCCAATGGGAAAGGGTGTATTTTAAATAGAAGATTGTGACTGGTTCGTGATCTAGATCATAAGATTTTGAGATTGTTTATGTTATTGTTGAGCTAGTTTTAGCTTAGCTTTATTATGTTAATAATAATGTTTTAAAATAATATGTTTACCTGCATTTCTTTTTTACATATTTCGGGCTATACTATATTAATTTTCTTGATTTTTTTTTTTTTTTTTTTTGATCTAGTTCTTTTTCAATTTAGTTCTTTATGAGTTCTGTAATTGATTGATTTTCTTATGCAAGCTCTTCACACAGTATCTAATGTTACTTAAAATTTAGTTTATTCTCATTATGAACTAGTTCAATTCCTTCTTTTTAATGCATATGAATTTTACATTTGATTTTTAGCTTGTATTCCTATTTAGTTCTTCCCAGAATACTTATTAGTTCTGTTATATATGCTACTTTACTATTCACGTTTCTGGAGCTTCAGGTTCGATCTAGTTCAGCTTTATATAGTTTTCAATTTTTCTACGTCAATCTGCTGCTTCAGCCAATTCTTTCACTTTCCCATACTTATTTATGGCTTAGTCAAGGCAAGGCTTTCACTTGGAGCTAGTTCTTTTGATCTAGCATTTAGTTCCACTGCACGCATTTATTTATTTATATATTTTCTTGCTTATTTATATATTATTTATATATTTTCAGTTTGAATTTACGTCGATTTCGCTTGCTCTTCTTTAATTTCATTTGCTGCGATTTTCGTTGATTTTATTCTTTTATTTGTTATTTATTTTAATCTTTTTTTGAATTTATTTATATGACGCGGCCTTTAATTTTAATGGGCCGCACATGTGAAGGCTATAAACGGTTTCGGTTTTGGCCAACAGTCGCATTGGCTGTGCATTGATACGGGCGACGCCATAAACTGTGCTACGATTATTCTCGCTTGTTGTTGTTGTAGTTGTTGTTGCTGTTGTTGCTGCCACTGCTTGAGCGGCATGTGGCAGGAGACGGCGAGCGAGAAAAAAATTCCAACGAAGTGCGGTCATTTTAATAACGAAAAACATCAGCTCTTTATGCACTCATTGCCATTGCTGTTGTTGTTGTTGTTGCTATTGTTGTTGCTGTTGCTATTGCTGTTGCTCGTTTCGTTGTTTGGCTTCTATTTTACTTGCGCTACTCTACACAGCATGTTGTTGTTTTATTTTATGACTTTCCCTCAGTGCGTGTGTTGTTGTTGTTGCTGTTGTTATTGTTGTTGTTGCTGTTCGTAGCTGCATAAAACTTTTTCAATATACCAGAGTACTTTTTGTTTTTCTACCCCGTTGCCTTGCAGCCCATACCCGCCCCACTCCACATCTGCCCCTCTCTCTATGACTCTCTCTCTCTCTCTCTCTCACTCGCTCTAAGTCTCTTTCTATGTGCATTGTTTAATTTTGTGATAATACAAAACATTTCTATTTAAATAAATGCATTTAAAATTTAATTTTTCTTCCACTTTGCCTCTTTCTGTCCCTCTCCCTCCCTCTCTCTTTCTGCTCAGCTGTTTAATCCGTTTAATCTCTGTTCTAATTGCCCGCTTAATCGCCTGTCATTTATTTCATATGCGCATTAAAAATATACATATGCATTTATATGTATGTATATTTTATTATTTAATATTTCATCATGTGTTGAGTGCTTGAAATGTTTCAAAATTAATTTTCTACCCCCAAAAAAAAATCTCACACAATGCAAACTTTGTTGCAAGCTTTGCTTTGACACGAAGTTTAAGCGGCATCAACTTGGCTAGCTTGTTTCTATTTGAGAATTGAATTATTTAAGAGCTCAAATAGTTTCGCATCAACTTTTTGGAGAAGTTCAACATCTTCGGAGAGAGATTAAAACCGATTTCTAAACATTTGCTAAGTATTCAGCTAGATCTTAGCAGCTGATTAATTTTTAAGTTGTTGGGTTTAATTTGGGAATGGGAATATGAATATTATTTTGGAATTATTATTGAATATTAATGTTGAATATTTATTTGATAATAAATGCTGTCTTGGGAAAGGGAATTTGAGTTGAATAGATATTATATTATATTATAACTATATTTTCCATGGAATATTAGAATTGTATATTCATATGAAAAGAAATGCAGAAGTGGATTTTATGGTAAATAAATCTTAAAAATATTATAAATATTATATATTATAATAATAATAATATTATGAATAATAATGAATAATAAATAATATAACGAGAATAAGAGAAATATTTTAAATATATTTAGTTAATATTTCTGTTTGATATATCTTATATAAGAAAGGTCTAGTTAGATGCCTGAAATTGAATAACGGATTTATGAAAATTTATTTATCTGTCTAATGAGGCGTATTAGGAACCATCAGGACGGCAGATAAGATCTAGACATATGTCTGCTTATCCCAGACTAAAGTCCACTTATTTCTTTTATTAATTGTATATTTTTTTTATATTAATAAATTATATATTCCACTGCTAGCTATCAGACTACAGACAATATATGTATATATAAATTTAATATACTTTGGCATTTGATTAATATAAAATTCTTCGCTTTCTGCTTCTTCCTCTTCAGGGTCAGTGCTCGGCTGGCACACTGCCCATGGCCTGGGTTGATGAGGGACCTGGTCCGCCAATCTGTCCGCGTTCCTGTGCCGAACAGCAGCCAATGGAAAGCAGCATCGATAATAATAAACTCAAGTATTTCATAAATGCAAATACGATTAACTATAAGACGACGCATAATCGCAACAGCAACAGCAACAGCAACAACAACAACAATAACTTAAAGGCCATGTCTCGAGTGCGACGCGATAGGCAATGGGATGAGAATGTTGTTGTTGTTGACAGTGGCCCAACGGAGGCGGCAGCAACAACAACCACAACCGAGCAGGAGTTGGATGATGTGGAGCAGGAGCAGGAGCAGGAGGCGAGCAGCACGCCCAGCAGCAACATTGAGGATGAGGCGATTAGACTGGATGGGGATCAGTCTACATTGCTCTATAGCCAACTTCAGACACACGAACAACTCAGCGTCAACGAACACCAACAACAACAACAACAACAACAACAACAGCAACAACAACAGTGCCTTGATTACCTGGGCGATGCAGCCGAGACGAGTCCACAGCATCTGTGCGGCCTGCGCTCACCTGGTCAGCTGCTCGCCCGCCTGCGCACCCTTCGACTGCGCCATTGCTGTGAACGTAGCGTGTTCAGTGCTCTTCACACATTGGCTCTAAATGTGACGCTCTCGGATCGGGACGAGTGCATTCGATTGCTGAGCGATCTGCTCGACGTGGATGCGCTGGCCAATCGCATCACCTGCGAGCTGGCCGAGATTCTGTTTCGCTTCGACTGCCGGCAGGTGTATTCGCTGGTCAATCAGTGCGATGACTGCAAGGTGAGTGCGTAACAAGTATTACAATAGTGCCATAGAGATAGCCAGAGTTGTTGAGCTTCATCGTTTATCGATACGTAATATAATATATCGAGTGTAGTATAATATAAGGTGATTATCATTTTGTTGGGTCTTGCTATATCCTCTTCTACTTCCACTTTTATCATGATCTATTTTAGAGAGTAGCTAAGCTATTCTTCTTCTATTTAATCGATTCCTTATGACATCATCTCTACATGGAATGGAGACTCTATGCGCTTAATAAGAGAATGGATTTTTATATAGACTGGTTATATTCTGGTTATATTCTATTCTGTTATTCTATATGAAATTTACCTTTATATTGTGCAGATATTTGAGTGAGCTTCACTTTTTTCCTACTCCTTCGTCCTTTGGTCTTCTACAGTCTTGCCGACCTACTCTTCTTCCCCATGTGCTGCCTCTTCGTAATTAGAATCTCAGTTGTCAATCCAGCTACAATTCTTTTTGCTCTCACGGTATATAGAGTATATATATATATAGTATATATGTATATCTCTTGGCTTTGTGGTTAAGGTCCTTGGACTTCATCTCTGTCTTATCCTCTGTACATCGTTAAGAGTACAGGCAGGATGTTCGTTCTTAAGTCCTTGGCTGCTCGTAAAACACTTGTAATATTCAAAATATTTGACAATGAGTTCAGAGTTCAATTGAGTTTCCACTGCTTTAGCTACTCCTTGTTCTGCCTTCCGCAGATTCGCATCATGAGAATGACAGTTAAAGCAGATAAAGTTTCCAAAAAGTATTTCAAAATTCGTTAGCTTCTGGCTCGTCTTACTCTCTCCACTCCCCACTGCTTCACTTCCTCAATGAATAGAAAGTGTTGTTTCTAGTCACAAATTCTATTAAATGGCTTCCAGCTACTCTTCTGTCTGTCTCTCTGTCTGTCTCTCTGCCTGTCTCTGTCTTTATCTCTGTGCATTTCTAACCGGATTGTCGCGGGACACGCGCTCGCATTACATCATGTTTTAATTAAATACTGTGCAATGGGTTGGCAACCCTTGCCACAGGACAACAACGGCAACAGGACATCAACAGGACACAACATAACTCGCATTTAAATTCAGCCCGTTAACCCCAAAATATGCCAAGCCCCCAAAGCCCGCCAGCCACAGCCCTGCAAGACAAATGAAAACTGGCAAATCTATTTGCTGACTAACAAAATGTACGACTATCAAATACCCTGCACAAAATGTGGAACCATAATAATATTCTATATCTAATGAATACTTGAGCTTCAATTAGAGTTTCATTAGACTAGAGCTCACAACATTTTTGAGAGCTTACATAACAGCTTGCAGTACAGTGTAGCCTGGCTATAAAGTAATGTGATTTAGCCATGGGTATTTAACAAGCTTAAGGCAGCGATTGCTGCTGTTGCAGTGTGTAAACTCTCGGCTATGGCTAAATCCTGCAGAGGGACGCAACTGCGTGACATTTTTAGCTGCTCATTAATTATTGAAGTCGGTTGGACGGACGGAAGGGAGGTGGGAGATGGGAACGGGCCTTGCCCCAAGAGCTGTCCACTTCACAAAATCCGCGCGCAGCAGTCGTCCAAAGGAACCCCACGCCCTGCCCGGGTTTAATATTTCTGCTCGTAATTATCAGTGTTGCTAAAGAGAGAGAGAGAGAGGGGTATAGGGAGAGAGGAGCGAAGAAGCAACGCGTTGCGGTTAATTTGTGGCACTTAGAGGTCGCCAACTGGCGAACTGTGCCACATTTTTCAGTGTCTGTGCAAACATTTGACTGCATATTTGATGACTCTCTTGCCTCCCTCTTCCACTCTTTCTCTGTATCTGTATCTGTATCTGTGTAAGTGCATGTGTGTATGTGTGTGCGCATAATTGGCAATTATTTGTTGCAAGCCTTTAAACAACTGGCAACACAGAGCTAAGCTGACCAACTGGCAACTGGCAACTGGCAGCTGACAACGGGCAAAAAGCAAAGCTGGCTGGCAAGCATGTCAAGCGAGGTGGAGAAGGTGTTGCGACAATGCGACCGCTAATGAGCGCCGCACACACACAGGCACACACAAAGCTGGGCAACAGGGGCAAAAGGAAAAGCTTTGCCAAGGGGGCAAAAAAAGAAAAATAAAGTATGAAAAAAAAAAGAAAACTGAAGCAAAATCTCGTGAATGGCCTCTGTGTCTGTGTAAGCGTGTGCGTGTGTGTGCATGTGTGTGTGGCAAAAGCACGTTGCAAGCATGTGAATTGCGCTGCTGATTAAGAAAAACTTGAGGCAGCTGCTAAGCAGCAACAGCAGCTGCACACATACACAGCCGGGCGTATGCGTAATTTAAATTTAAATTTGTGTGCGTGCGTGTGTGTGTGTGTGTGTGCGGCTGGCACACATTTAAATGCCTGCACAACAGCAGCGCCAACAGCAACAACAACAACAATAACAGCAGCAGCAGGCAAACTAACTGCCAGCGGTTGTAGACCCACCCCCAAAAGACACGCACACACACACACAGACACTCATACAGCCTAACAGCAGCCGCAGCCTTAACATGTTTCTAGTTCGAAACGCGTCGGCTGTGCAAATCAGGTGATGCAAAGAGAGTGAGAGAGCGCCTGAGTCAAGGAGCGCGCCAACAACGTGAGCGCAACTTGTCAGCTGCTTGGCGCGCTCTCTCACTGGCGCTCTCTCCCACGCGCTCGTGCTCGTTCGCTCGCTCTTACGCTATTCAGCGCTGGCTCTCACATGACACGAAGTTTGCGAGGCTCTGCAACGTTTTTTTTTTTTTTTTTTTCTTCTTATGTCGTTTATATAAGTTGAGCTGTAGGAATTTTATTTACTGTGCGACTGCAGAAAATAATCAGAATATAAAACAACAACTATTTTATATATAAATATTAATTATTTACCAAATATTATTTGTGTTTTGTTTGACTTATTTTATTTGAACTCATGTTTTATTTGCCAAAGACAAAAGTCGTTTTGGCTTTTCCAGTCGCTAGTTTTTGAAATATCAACTGCGCGCGCTGCGCTCCACATTCAGCGGCCAATTCCAATTGCCAAAAAAGCAAAATGAAGGGCTAGCGAAAAATAAACGCAAAAAAAAAAAAAAGTAGAAAACAACACACAGACACAGAGGCTTCCAGTTGGGCTGCTGCTTACACACAGACACATGCACACACACATAGCGAGAGAGACTGGCTTTGCACATGGCCAAGACGCGAGGCCTAATACTTGAGGCTCTGCAGTTTGGGCCAGTTTTAAATTAATTAACTCGACAGCTTAGGCAAGCCAGCCTAATGTACATATATATAGAGTATATATACATATATAAGTATATGTATCTCTAAGTATATATGCCAAGTTGCTGTTGTTGTTGTTGTTGTTGGCCCTCATATCATAATTACTGCTGTGTGTGTATTTATGATTACGTTCACCGCAAGTCGTCTAATTAGTCAAAAGGACTCTCGCCTGACATTGCGGCCAACCGCAGTGCCCCATAACTGCCAAAGGCGCCACACACACACTAACACACACACACACACGCACACACACACAATACACACACACCAGCTCGCACACCTCTAACCCATTTTCATATTTGGGTTACGACTCTTTTGATGGTCAAATAAACGCAAATTAGTTGATGGCCATATAGAAGCTGGCTCTAAGCGTGGTCAAAAGCACACATTAAATTCATATTGCATACCTTTAGGGGCGGCCACTACGACTGCTACAGCTTCTGGCCAACCATTAAAAGAGGCCCCAACATTCGAAAACTATTTTGGCTGCCCGTATTTCAATGTTGAATTCCACGCAAAAGTTTTTCGCTTTTTACGATGTTTTTTTTTTCTTCTGCAAAGAATTTAAAAACAATTTTTGTTAAATGCAGTTAAAAAATATTTTTAAAATTTTCTGTTTTTTTATTTTTTTTATTTATAACTAAGTGTGTTTTTTTTACAGGTATGTTGTTCTGTTTGCCCCCATTCCTTGAGGAATTGGCATAACTTTTTCTTTATTCAGATTTATATGGCTTATAAATTTCTAAAAAATTGGCGTTTTGTTTTAGATTTTTTGTTAAATTTCTTTTTGTTGCTTTTCAATGTGTTTCGTTTAATTTTGAGTTTGTTATTGCTGAATTATTAAATTATCTTAAATGTATTGCAAAGCAAATTTTATAGTTTCTTTATTTTCTTTAGCTAAGATTCGTATGGGTTTTCTCATATTGTTTTCAATGAAAGACTAAAATATGTTTCTCTGTTTAACTAAACAGCTCAGTAGCAATAGAAAAAGTTCTATATAATACCTCATTTCCTCAGCGCAATTCTCTTTACCTTTCATAGACTATATGGCTAATGTTTCATTACCAAGTGTTTTTACTTTATGTTTCTATAACTAACCTTTAAGAGCTTATATTATTATTAAATTATCTCGGCCTATTCCTTATTCTATAGGTTTCATTTACAAGATTTTTCTTGTAGTGTATTCTACAAAACCTCTATCCTTCTCTTCTAATTGCTATTCAGATATTTTTATATCTCCCATAACTGCTGTAGGCATCTATTTTTGAATACAAATGAATATTCATAGAGCCTTTCAGAATCAGAATATTTAATGATTAGCTCCATCTATCATATAGAGCTGATTGCTCTGCTTCTGTTCCGGGTTATTTTCAGTTTTTTTCATTAAAATTTTCAGCTCGCAACTGAGGTCAAAGTTCATGCGCCTCGGGTTCAAGGTTATATATCAAATTTGACATGCTTTTCTTTTTTTTTTTTTTTTATCAAATTTATATATGCATGGAGATGTATGTGTATATGTATACCTTGGCTGCTGTTGGGGGCCGCTCAGCTAACACTTTTCTCAGCTGTCGCTGCGTGTTTTTATCTTATTTTATTTTATCCCATTTTATTTTATTTTATTTTATTTTCTTAGGCAAAACTTTTCTTTTCTTTTCGTTTTTTTTTTATCGCATTCTGTTGCTGGGCATCATCATAATCTATGCC